CACCCTCTTCTCCAAAATAACCAGAGAAAAATGTACTGAAGGTATGGCTCAAGCTGTAGAGCACCTGCTTTGCAAATGCAAAGCCAAGTTCAAACCCCACTCCCACCAAAAAAGAAACTAGTCACAAAAGATCACACTATATGATTTATATGAAAGATGCAGAAGAGGCAAATCCATAGAGATAGAAAGTAGATTAATGGTTCCCACAGGTTCGGAGAGGACAGAGTAACTGCTAATGGGCAGTTTCTTTATGAGTGATGAAAATGTTTTGGAATTAATGGTGATCATTGTACATCCTGATGAATATAAAAGCACTGAATTGTATGCTTTATATTAATTTGTTTCTTTTACTTATTCTGCCATATATACAGTCTTCTCATCAGCAGATTTTTTCCTTTATTTTCTCTTGGTAACCCCCTTCCCCAGTTCTTCATCTTCAGAGAACTTATTTTGACTAAGTAGGAAGTTGAGTTCTGGCTAAACTTATCTGAAGCATGTGTAGTTATTAAAAAGCTAATATTTGTGCATAAGAATATTGGTATAGTGAAAAATCTAAATTTTAGTTTAAGAAAAGGCAGCAACTAAGCTAGGCATGGTGGTACACATGTAATTCTAGCACTTCAGAGGCTGACAAAGGAGGAGCTCAAGTTCAAGGACAATCTGTACTCCATACCAAGACTTTGACTAAAAAAAAGACTGCAACTGAGATACATATCAAAAGTAATTATTATATTAATTTTTATACTGTGGGTTATGTCTGTTATGAGTCAACTTCCAGACTCTTCATTCACATTATAGTTCAGTATTTCTTTCAAAACTAAAACAATCTTTTTTTACTTTATACATAGCTAAGACAAAAAAAAAAAAAAACCAAACAAACCTGACACTGTAATAAACTGAAAAGCTTCTATTCCATAAAGTAACAACCTTCCTTACAGTTCTCAGTGTGTAATAATCTAGAATCGTTCCTTAAGATTTATGTGTCAAGTGCTTTTCATGTATTATTCTCACAGCACTCTAAGATAAGCAAAAGCAAACTCATTTTTTAGAGATAAAAATAAAATAAAACAAAACAGACTCTAAAGAGGTTAAATGCTTTAACTAACATAAATACTCAAGTGGGGCTTCAAACTTTTATGTATGTTACCTTAAGCACCAAACTCTTCCATTCCAGATATAACAAGACAATGGACTAAAAATTTGAAGTCCTATGTTTGAATGCTGTTTCCACTACTTAGTGAATCTACGACTTTAGGCAAGTTGATGAATATTTCCTTATTCGTTAAAAGAAATTATTAGCCAGGCATGATGGTACATGCCTATAATTCCAGCACTTGTGAGGCTGAGTCAGGGGATAGAGAGATGGATAGAGAGATAAAGGCCAGCCTGGGGTACAGAGTGAGACCCTATATTAAAAAAAAAAAAAAAAAGGTGGTGGGAGGGGGGCTGGTGGAGTGGCTCAAGCCATAAAGAGTGCCTTTCTAGCAAGCCTGAGGCCCTGAGTTCAAATTCCATTGCCGCCAGAAAAAGAAGAGAAAGAACACAAAAACAAAAAGAAAATATTAAACCCACCTGACCTAGTTTAGGTCAAAGAATACAAATAGGCACTAACGTATACATGCCAATGCAAGCATTATAGAAATGTAAGAGATAATTATAGAAAAGCAGTACTGAAGATAAATCAGAAATGTGCTAAATAATGAATTGCTTTAATATTCTATAGTCTTTTCAACAGTAATGGTATGCACTAGAGTAGAGATATTCAAAGGATATTCCTCTCAAGCACACCAGGGGGGCAAAGCAAGTAGGAATCCCCAATCCAATTCATAAAAAATAGCTCCAAAAGCTTTAATAAAGAAGTTCAAACCATTATACTCGAGTCACCTTTTGGCATCTATTAATGACACCAGGACTTCAGGTCTTACAAGAGAAAGTGTTGATGGACTGAAAAGGGACTAGATTTTAGAGACTAAATCTAGACTGAATTCTAGTCCTGCTACATGCAGGTTGAGTGATTTATAATATCTGAGACTAAAATTTCTTTACCTATTAATGCAAGGAAATACCTACTTTGTAGAGTTGTAGGTAGATTAAACAAAACAGCATACCTAAAGTTGCTACTATGCTTGGTACAGAGTACTTACTTTAAAAAAAAAAAAAGGTAATTAGTATTACATTATCTAGCTATCTAGCTGTACTTTGGAATTACTAAATCTAATTTGAAAAATTAAATTATGGAAACTCAAGAAAAATGATAAACTCTGAATATGCAAATACATATAAACAAGGTTTAGTGAAAATGAAAGCAAGAGATTATGAAAAACAGTTGAAAGAGAAGGTCATGAAAGACCTGGTCTGGGGAACAAGCCCAACTTAAAAACATGTGATGGATGGGTAGTGAAAAAAGAAAGGCAGATAAGAAAAAAAGCAAGGGAATGGAAGGAGAAATAAAGAAGGATGCTTTGAAATTGGTGGAAATGAGATTTCTTAAATCAGAACTGAGGAAAAAGAAAAACTGAATCTTAGACTTTTTAAAAGAAGTAACATATGTAACTCAAATTAAGTATTCCCAGGATGACAAGTATGAATCCAAAAAAAAACCTCAGAGTCTAAGAAACCTAAGTCCAAGTCCTTAGAGCCCTGCCACTAAATTTCTAAGGATGCCTTAATATCAAGAATATTTGAGTCTCAGTTTCCACATTTATTAAGAGAAAGTATTTCCCCCTCCTTAGTTTACCTTACAGAACAAGAGTACAGAATTCTCTGAGCTTCAGGTTCCTCAACTGTATGATGTAGTAATGAAATGAGATCATTTCTAAGCTCTCTTTCAGCTTTATGATTCAAGGACGGAAGAGAATCTATGTACCAACAAGGACATAGAAAAGAAAAATAAGCCAAATTAGGACCACGTAAGATTCAACAACATCTATTCTTCTCTTCTTCATATGGTGATAGAGAAGTGTCTTTCTAAAAAATTTTCTTTTCCAGGATATGTAATTTGCCTATACCAAGAAGATTAAAGCATTAATTTAAAAACATTAAGCTCCTAACAACCATACAGTCTTCTAATCAGCAGATTTTTCCTTTTACTTTTCTTTTGGTAACCCCCTTCCCCAGTTATTCAACTTCAGAGAACTTGTTTTAACTAAATAGGAAGTTGAGTTCTGGCTAAACTTACCTGAAGCATGTATAGTTATTAAAAAGCTATAAAAGTACTGGTATAGTGAAAAATCTAAATTTTGGTTTAAGAAAAGGCAGCACTAAGCCAGGCATGGTGGTACACGTGTAATTCTAGCATTTCAGTCTGAGGAAGGAGGAGCTCAAGTTCAAGGCCAATCTGTGCTCCATACCAAGACTCTGACTCAAAAAAATGGGGGAGAGCAACTGAGATACATATCAAAATTAATTATTATATTAATTTTTATACTGTAATTTTTATCTGTTGAGTCAGCTTCCAGACTCTCTTCATTCACATTATAGTCCAATATTTCTCTTTCAAAACTAAAACAATCTTTATTTTACCTCATATACAGCCTTCTACCTACTCTTTCTATTATGTGCCCATCAGCCTATTCTGCCAAAGTTTTCTCATTTTTCTACTATGTAAATAGTCAGGTCTCCACTTGGATTCTTAGTTTCCGTCCCTGTTTTTGTCACCCCTCAACCACACTGTTATAATTTACACGATTTTTTTCCTCTTCATTCCTATCATCAACTTTCACAGTGGTATATCTCCTATTTTCCTCTCCTTTTGATCAGTTTTTGGACACTTTACTACTTCATTACATAATGTATTTCTTTTCTAATCCTTTTCCCAGGAATCTATCTACCAATCCATGTTTAGAACCCCAACTACAGTAACATCCCTTTTCTCTTTACAATCAGTAGTCCCCAGGATCCTGTTTGATACTACCAATATTCCTCAAAACCCAATGTTTATTCAATTCTGTTTTCCAGCAACTACTACTTCCATGCTCAATTCATCATGATTCTCCTACACCCAACTGTCCCCTACCCTGGCACAAGCCATTCAATGACCTAAAATCCCAAAGCTTACCTCTTCAACACAACTCTTTTCTCTTTCCAACCACCTATTTTCCATGTTTACAGAAAATGGCGAGTTCCAACGCTTCTCTAATTCTGAATCTTAGATCAACACACAGCTTCCTTCAACCCTATTAGCCTGGCAAAAAACAATTGCCCAAACCTTCCTCTTTAAGCTTTCCAGATCACCTTACCTCTGCAGTGCTTCCCATTCACCAAACTCTGTTTCTAGTCAATCTCTAGAGCCCATGACCCCTCCCTAAACTCACCCATCTCCTTCATCACACCTCCCTTATCCCTCTCACCTTCTTAGCACATTCCTACTATCCCTAAGTCTTCCTGAATGTTTCCCTAGGTCTATTCCCCTTACTCTCAGTTCTCCTTTGTAAGAGACCTAATCTGCTAGACCCCTTCACTCATTGAATATGCCTCTCACACGTCTGGGAACTCACTCTCTCTAGAACCTTCGCTCCCTAGTTGTCTCCTTCTCCATCCCTGCCTCAGGTGTTCTCTACTCCCCTTGGCCTTTCTAATATTCAATTCTTGCAGTCTTCTACTCCTGCTAAACCTTTCCTTCCATCCTCCCCCATCTCTCAACTTTTCTATCATTCCCCAATTCCCTCAACCGTCCCTGGCAGATTTCTCCCACCTTTACCAGTGTTCCTCTCTTTCCTCTAACCTCCTCCACCCCTTCTCCAAGAGTTGCCTCCCTCATCCCTTAAATTATCCTTTGGCTCCCCCAATCTTTTCCTTCTTTCCTTCTCCCTTCAACAGTGTTACCTGTTCTTCCAATTTCTAGTCTCCGAACCTGCCTTCTCCTTCATCTAAACATCGTCAGGCCGCCACCAACATTTCCTCCTATTCTCAGCGTCCCTTCCCGTGCCTCTCGGAACGCCCAAGCACCATTCTCCAATGGCTGGGGCCTGGCCTCTAGGGAGAAGGTACGAGTCACGTACCCCATTCGCATCTTGGCTCCGCTCTGACTGCCCCCGCTGCCGGGCAGAGGAGGGCGAGAGGGCAGGCGGCCGAGGTGCATGCTCTTCTCCAGGGCCGACATCAAGGGGAGGCCACACGACGCCAAAGAGTTGCCGAAGCTTCTTCCCACGCTAAATGCGGCCCAACCGGTCACAGCTCACTCCCCTAACAACAACCAGCCGCCTCTGGACAGCACCCAGCTACGGGCAGCACCGCCTACCGCCCACCGGCTCCATAAACTCCACCCCCTCGCCTCGGCGCTTCCACCGGAAGTACGCAACAACCCTCGCACAAAGGAAGCTGGGTAACGAAGTCTGCGAACCCTTCAGACCTCTAGTGCAGAACGCGACGACTCTCGCCAAAAGGAGGAGCGCTGATGAAGGCAAGGCACGCTGGGCAATGGAGTCCTCAAAGGGCGTATCCCTCTGCGCTTGCGCATCTGCAGCCACCCCTGTTCAACCCCGCAGAGGTAGTGTAGTAAAGCATCCTGGGTGTTGTAGTTTTATGGCGGGAAGGCGTCTTGGCGCCTTTCCTTCACACTGTTTTCGGGAGACTGTTGAAAGAAGAGCCGTTTCTTCCTGCTTCCCAAGCTGCCCAGCGGCGCCGGTTGCCCGGGAACGCCGGCGCCATGGGAAGGGATGGCGGGAGGATACGGCTTTGGTGCTGAGAGCGAAGTTGAGTTGGTGAAGAAGATCTGAGGCTCGTCATGAAACAACGAAAAGGCCAGGGGCCTGGGGGCGGCCGTGGGCGCAAGAAGAGAGGTAAAGTGAGCTGTCAAAGGTTGAGGAAAGCTTAATCCGGAAGGAGGACGTAAGGAATGCTAGGGAAACGCCACCTAAAGAAAACAAATAAAAAAAGAGGAAAGAGAGAATAACCAGGGCACCATACGGTTAAAAGGACCCTCTAATGAGTGGAAAGGGAATAGCGCCTGGGATTGGAGGCCAAAAGGGGGCGATAAGTGAGCAGGATGAGGGTTAAATGGTACTGGAGAAGAACAAAAAATTCTGATTGTTTCTGATAGCAGAGATAAATATAATCGTGTGCGTGTGTAGCTTTGGAGGTCCCCAGGGTCTGGATGAAACATGTTGGAGAGGGTATATTAATGACCTAATGTGCAATGATCACGTTTTGTATATTACTAAGTCCCATGTTAGTTGAATGAAGGATGAAGCAGTTAATCACCAAACTTAAAGGGCTATAAGCTGGAGTTGGGAAAGCGGGAGTATAGAGGGAATAAGTGTGTAGTAACAATATGTGGTAGGATTTGGAGTAGGGGTATAGGCATGAGAATCAGCTAAAGGACCTGAGATAATAAAAAGTGTGTAGCACAAGGGAGGTGTGAGGATAGGTAAGACACCTAAAAAATTAGCTAGCATTTGTTGCCCTTAACGCAGAGAAACTAAAGCAGATACCTTAAAAGCAACTGAGGCCAATAGGAGAAGGGGACCAGGAACTAGAGAAAAGGTTAGATCAAGAATTAACTTAGAAGGTAACACCCACGCACAGGAAATGAATGTGAATCAACTCCCTGTATAGCTATCCTTATCTCAACCAGCAAAAACCCTTGTTCCTTCCTATTATTGCTTATACTCTCTCTTCAACAAAATTAGAGATAAGGGCAAAATAGTTTCTGCTGGGTATTGAGGGGGTGGGGGGGAGGGAGGGGGTGGAGTGGGTGGTAAGGGAGGGGGTGGGGGCAGGGGGGAGAAATGACCCAAGCATTGTATGCACATATGAATAATAAAACAATAAAAAAAAAAGTGTGTAGCAAGTGGACGCCTCAGACTTGTAACCTAAGGAGAAACAAGCTTGCCAAAGGAGTAGGAAGTATTAGCTGCATGGAGAACAGTCACACCAGGAACTCAGTCATACCATAAAACTGGAAATTGGATCTCGCCCTCCATGGGGGAGGGGAGAGAAACATTGGATGGCCTTGCCTTTTTACATAATAATCAGTTGTGAGGATAGAGGTATTGGGAATAGTGATAGTACATTAGGCCGCTGGGTTGAGAACTGAAGCAATAGTCTGGAAATGAATCTTGTCCAAGTCTTTTAAAGATCACTAGGAAAAAAAAAAAAAAAAAGATCACTAGGGCAGTTTTGAGGCATTACCTTTCCAACCAGAAATGATAGAAGGTTCTGAGAACAAAGCATGGAAGTGACCAATGCTGGCAATCCCTGTGTGAAATCAAGCATTATTAGGTTGATAGGAAGAAAGTCAAAATAGAAATAATGTAACACTAGTATACAAAAGAATGTCCTTGCCATACCACGTGCATATGCAGGACATTCCTGTACACACCTTTTTTACATTGAAACTAATTATTCATGAAGATTATAGTGGGTCTTCACTATAGAGGACAGAGACGGTGTTTCCTTTAGATGTTCAAAGAATTTTATAAATTCCTGCACTGATAGATTCCAGTATATTTTCTTCTTATGAGACATGGCCACTCCTCAAGGAAAGATGTATATAATATAGAAATGTTTTTGTTTGTTTGTTTTTTGAGACAGGATCTTGTTATGTGTAGCCCATACTGACCTTAAATTCAATATCCTCCTGCCCCAGCCTCTCAAGTACAGGGCAGGAATGGTTTTGGGTTTTTTGGTTTTTTGTTTTGTTTTGTACTAAGATTTGAACTCAGGGCTTTCAGTTTGCTAGACAGGCACTTTACCACTTTAGCCACACTGCCAGCCCTAGGAATTTTTTTTTTAAGTCTCCTCTAAGTTGTAGAAAAGGCACTGAGTGAAAAGAAGACAAGGGTTATGATTAGTTGCCTCATTACATTTTGATTTCTCATATTTCTGAAAACCATTAAGTATTAAAGATAATAAATGAATATTTAGGCAAAATTTAAAGATGTTAGATTGACATCATCCTCATTGACTTTATAATCTTGGTGATATAGATTAAATCAGTTGTATGTCAAGTGAAGGGAGTTACTGTTTTATGTTTAATGATGGTTTTAAAGTAAGAGTTAGGTAAAGATAACATCTTTAAGACAATGGACGTTGCAATAATCAAAACAACAGTACTTAAAGGAAAATTTTCAACTACTGAGCTTTTAAAAACCAATCTGTTCAATCATTATATTTGTATTTTTCAAATAGGAACGTATCTTAAAAATTAAAAGTTTACATTATCCTTTTTGTTTTAACGTAAAAATTAAAGAAAAGTTAGTGTTAGCATGTCTTACTAAGCATATTCCTGACTTGGAATAACCTGGATCAAACCTGAATACTATTTAGTTATCAGGGTGGCATATGCTACCAGGTAGGTTATTCTGTGGTCTGATTTGCTAGTTACTTCTCATGTACTAGAATAGAGAAAATAAGCCTCTCTATATAGAGAATAAAGTATTTTGTTTTTATTCAAAATGCAAATTATGTTTTCTGTATTTAGTCTAGATTTTGACTTGGTGTCCTGGGATTCCTCCACAGGTTTGAGTGACATTTCACCATCTACAAGCCTCCCACCTCTGGTTGAAGGCCAATTACGCTGCTTTCTAAAACTTACTATTAATAAAGTCATATGGAAGATTGCAAAGCCTCCAACTTGTGTACTTGTCCGAGTAAGATGGTGGGGAGAAACCACAGCTGGAACACTCTTTTGTCCCAGGGATGCATTGCAGACTGAACCAAAATCTGTGAGAACAACTACACGCTATGCTATTCGCTGTGGTCCAAAGCAGTTCACCTCTTATCTAACAGGTATGTTTTTGTTTTCTCATTTTAACTGCAGACCTAAGGTGGAACATGGGCTTATGTCATCAGCAATAGGTGTTATTATGTACCTAATATCTCTGAGCATTAATTAATTGGGATGTCAAAGAGGCTTTATAATAGCCACCATTTATTTGATGCTAGTAGTTAATGTGTACTTTAATCTTTACAAAACTTACTCTATTAGGCATTTTCTGTTTTACAGACAATGAAATATGTTCAGAAAGATGAAATGAATACTCTCTAAGGTCACATAGTTGATAAATGGCAGAAGTAGAATTTGAACCCACTTCTGTCTGACAACAAAACTTAGGCTTCTTAGTCCCAGCTACTTGGGTGGCTCAGGCAGGAGGATTGCTTGACCCAGGAATTTGCGGCTTGCATATGCAATATATTGAGAACCATCTCAAAAAAAGAGAGAGAGAGAGAACTCCTGGTCTTTTTTTTTCACTATATCATACTACTTCTTTAGGTAATAACTATAGTCTCCACTCTGGAACTTACATTATATTTGAGGAAAAAGGATATATGTAAAACTAACTCATAGTACAAGATAATGTATACTAAATGTCAAATGAGTGCTTCAATGAATTAATATGACAGGTTTTCAGAGAAAGAAAAAATACCTCTATAGTGAGCCAGAAGGCAAGATGTCTTCAATTTTTTTTACTAATAAAAAATTATATTTACTTAGAAGTATTCAGAATGACAACAAAACAGCCTCTACTTTTTGTTATTTTTTTTGCAATTTTTACAGACTCTGTATTCAGTTAATAGAATATTTTATATAAGCAACATCAGAAACAATTGAAGAAGACAAACTACTGTTCCCATATAAAATTAACTTTTTCTGTGCACCACCAAGAACCTACTTTAAATTTCCATGCTAATTCACAATCCCCATACTGTACCAGTTAAGAATAGGGGCACTAGGACAGGGTTGTCTAAAGACACATTTGGGAATGTGTTAACTGTACATAAAAAACATAATACAGTTTAAAAACATCTTACAGCCTTACATTTCAATTTTTTTTTTCTTTAAAAGGAGTTGTATAAGTCAGGCACCAGTGGCTCATACCTATAATCCTAGCTACTTGGGAGGCTGAGATTGGGAGGATCAAGGTTTGAGGCCAGCCCAGACAAATAGTTCTGAGACCCCATCTCCGAAAGATAACCAGCGCAAAATGGACTGCAGGTGTGGCTGAAGCCAAAGAGTGCCTGCTTTGCAAGCATAAAGGCCTGAGTTCAAACCCCAGACCCAGCAAAAAAAGTGAGTTGTGTACATGCAGGTTAATAGACAGAAAAAAAATTGTGCTAGAACCAACTTACTCATCACATCTTCATCTTCATCCTCTTCTTCTTTGTCTTGCTTTTTTTTGGCCTTACCAACTCCCTTTTTTGCTGCATTGGGTTTTTCTTTAATTCTGCAGGCAGCAATATCCTTTTCATATTTTCACGTCAACTTAGCTGCCTTCTTTTCATAAGACTGCTTGTTGTCTGCAGCAGTGTTGTTCCACATCTCTCCCAATTTTTTTGCAACACCACCAATGCGTAGGCCAGTATGCTTTTTGATTTAGGAGGTAGGAAGGGTGATTCTCAAAAAACAAAAAGAAGAAGGCTAAAGGAGGCCTCATGGATGCGTTGGGACCCTCAAACTTCTTTTTGTTTCCCCTTTAGGAAGGAGATTTATTTTCATACAAAATCTTTACATTTTAAATCTTTAAAATTTTTTGTTTAAGGAAAGTGAAAATAAACTAGAAGAATTAAGATGAAGCCTCTGGGAATTAGTAGAATGCATGCTGTGAAGCCCTGTACATTTGCAGCGGCTTTAGCCTCATTTTCTAGGTGATGGACTCAAAGTTCAGAGAATTAAAAGTGCTAAGGTCACCCTAACACTAGCCCTAATTTCATGGAGGCTCTTGACTCCAAGATCATTAATATTTCTATTCTATGCCATCTCAAAAAATAGAGGAACGGTAGGATTCTGACATACACCTTCGTACATCTTTCCTCACTTAGCCTTTATTCCTTTGCAAGAAATAGTGGCCATGAAAATGTTTGGAACATGGAAAGTTTAGAGTAGAAACTGAAAACACCTCACTTGATTTTTGCCTCAAATAAGATCTCAGTAGGAAAATGAAAGACAATGGCGCAGAAGTAATGCTAGACAATGGGGGTTCTAATTCCACAGCAAAAGTAAAGGATAAAGGTCAGAAGTCTATTAGTAATTAACCATTTTCTCCCAGAAGCAATGAATAATGAAGCAGTGTAGTGTGGTAAACTTTATAACTGGACAGAACTGTTTTAGCTCAGTTTTATGCTTTAAATCTCAGTGAACTTAGGGATGTTATGTGACCTCTCTGAGCTTGTTTTATCCCCAACTAGAGTCAGAAACACCTACATCATAAAATTATAAAGAAAATTAAAGAGACATGGAAGAACCTGTCTGTTAGTAAATAGCCAACAAATGTTGGTACATTTCCTTTATTCCACGTGTGAATATAATTTTTCAGTCAGAAAACACTTTTGCATCTCATATGATTTTATTTTAGATAACTACCATGAATAAGTAAGAAAGGGACTGTGATATGTTAAGTAATTTGCTTCGATCATGTAACAGCCATTCAGCAAGTACTATGTGGGAGGACATTTTCCTGTGTGATCTCTATGCAGCACCCCTGATTCCCACACAGCAGTGATGTAGGTGGTATGATGCCTATTTTACAGGCAGTTGTGACTTACCTAGAAATAGCTTGTGACTACTAGAGCCAGGACACAGCCACATGTCTTCTCATTTTATAAGTCCTTTCTTTGCAGTGTTGAACAAATAGTGATAATGAACCATTCTCTCAACTTTGGTGAGGAAAAACTTCAGAAGTAATACTGTCTTGAAATGATCTTAGATACCATTTCATACATTGTATTTCTTTTTCTATGAATTATGATCATGAAGATATTAATTCTAAGTGATTAAATGAAGAATATACGTAACACATTTATTTCCATTCCTCTTAGGTCCAAGTATTCTCAGTAGATCAATGCTCCAGATACAACCCAGGAGTAAGCAATTGAATACTTCTGGGAGCCAGGGAGCAACCTTGTAGCTATGAAGAGCACCCTTTGTCTAATTCAAAACTAGAAATAGTGAAAATGAAATAACTGAGATTTGTTCTTTTATAATTCAGGAGTTTGAACTCAGGGCCTCGCACTTTTTAGGCTCTTGAGCCACTTTGCCAGCCTTGTTCTTTGTGTTAGGTATTTTCAAGATAGTGTCTCATAAACTGCTTTGCCTAGACAAGCTTCAAAACTAGATCCTCCTGATTTCTGCTTCCTGAGTAGATAGGATTACAGGTGTGAGCCACTGGCACCAGGCCTCAGTTCTCTTTCAAAATATTTTTCTTTATCAAATACTTGATATGCTAAATATTTTATTCAGTACAATTTTATTTTTTTCTTTAGTGCAAGGTATTTTTCATTCTTCTTTAAAACTTTATTGTTATTTTGGTCTTGGGCTCATGCTCCCCACTTTCCTCGCCCCCAGAATGATATGGTAAGTGCCTGGTTTATTTGAAACTAAAGTAATTTTTTTCAAAATAAAAACGTTCATTGTATACCCCTCTGCTCACTTCCAAAAAATAAAATTAAACTAAATAAAAAATATCTGAGTACATTATAATTGTTTCTCATTAGATATGGCTGTATTGGTACTGGAAGTAATCACCAAACTTGATCATCTTCCAATTGGTAAAGTTCAGATCAGTGGACTAGCTCAGCTTTCTCCAACCCATCAAATCAATGGACTTTTTACCATTGTTTCACCAACATCAAAGAAACTTGGAGAACTTCAGGTAAAAATATTTTAATTCTGTTCTGCATGGACTAAAACTTTTTTGACAGAAATAGTTGAGTCTTGTGGAATGGGTGGGTACATGATTCCCATAAATCATACTAATTCCCACCTCATGCCTATGCTTATGTTTTATCTAGATACTGCAACCTGCATGTGTTTCCAACTTATCCAGATCCACTTAGTGCTCTACTGCTTACTCGAGGTCCAAGAGTCCTTCACACCACCTACTGCACTCATTGTTCTCTGCACTCTTTTAAGTTTCTAAAAGCATTATTTACCTCATCATTGCTTTCTTATAGTCTCCAAATTGTTTCTTGGTAGGATCCCTTTAATTCTCTCTCTTTTAGAGTCTGAGAGGCAAGACTGTTTCTTTGCTTTTCTCCAGCTCCTAATGTAGTACCAAGCAACAATTTCTTGTTTGACTCATGCAAGTGGGGTCCTTCATATATTCACTTATTGATTCTGCTTATGTTTTTTGATAGTGCCAGTAACTTAGAATGTAGAGGAAAAAGCTGAACTCTCATTTAGTTTTCCAAAATCCACTGTGACATATAATATGCTACAGATATGCATAGGATGCTGGAAAAAACATTGAAAGGTCATTTTCCTGAGGGTACTTTTTGGGAGAATATCCTAGAAAACTCTGAATATTCAGACACCTTAAAAATTTGGGGGGGTTATACCTTGTTAAATGTGTTTTTAAATTTACATAAAAATTAAATAGATAAGGAAGAAGATAAGGAAAGAGCATCTAACATCAGATGTAAGAATTATCACAAGGCTAAGCATGGTGGTACACGTCTGTAATCCTAGTTTCTCAGGAGACAGAAGCATGAGGATGGTGAATTAGAGCCTAGCCTAAGCAAAGTTAGCAAGATCATATTTCAAAAAAATTTAAAAGACATGACTCAAGTGGTAGAACACTTGCCTAGCATGTGTAAGGCCCTGGATTCAATCCCTGGACTATAAAAAAAAAAGATATCATAAAACCACAAGTATATAATTTTGTCAGTAGAAAAGAATAGAGTCCAAAATAGATCCTGGTGGAAAAACTTAACATTTTGTAATTATGCTCATATTTTTATTGACAATATATTAAATTTTAAAAATAGTGGTACCTTATGTTAATAACTTTACAGTGAAGTGAGTATGCTTTACTCATGCTCTTCTGATCATGGTATAAATTTGCATCAAGCCTAAGGATGTAGGCATTATATTTCAATAGCCATAAAAATTATTTACCTCAACAAATACACCTTGGCAACTTAAAGTACTATAAAAAGAAGAGGAAGCTATATATATAGAATTAGTTATGGAAATACATTTTTAATATTAGAAAAATGAAGTTCATTCTATTGAATGAACTTATTCAATAGAATTATTGTAGCCTTGAAATATTCTATATCTACAAAAGGAAAAATTACATAGTTACAGTTGTATAATAGCATGAAAAATGATTTTGTATTGATGACAAAGGAAAATTATGTATCATATGCATATGATTGATGACTGGGGAAAAATAAGACAAAATGAAACAAGAATATAGGATTTTTTTTTAGAATTTATAGTAAATATTTATGACTTTTAAGACATCAGTAAAATGATATATCAGAGTCTGTGACAAAACTATAATGTGTTGTTTCTACTACAATAATGCATTGACAAAAACACATAGAGATACTTGTCTTATGTATATTGAATCTGTTGATAAAGAACTTCAAAAATTGAAGTGAACCTGTTCTAGTAATATTTAGTTACAAAATAGATTAGCTATGAATAAAAGACAAAGTACATAACTTAGTAACAAAAAATATTACTAAAATGATTGTAAAAATGTATCACATACTTCCTATCAACTGGAAAGACACTACAATAGACCTATGATAGGATTTGATTCTACTAGCACATATCATACACAGTAGATAGAGGTTAAAAAAAAATGTTTCCTTGTTACTAAAAAGAATGTCAAGTACGTATGTGGAGTTATCATTAGTAATAATGGGGAGTTTTATAGAAAATTACAGTGTTGTCCAACAAAAACTCAAATATATATCCTTTACTATGAAATTAGGTATATTCTGGAAAACCTGATAGAAACAAAAAATTTGGAATATAGGATTTACTTGGTTTTTTTTTTCCTATTTTTAAGTTAAGATATAATTCACATACTACACAATTCACCCTTTTAAAGTATAAAATTCAATGCAGTATTTTTTAGTATATTCACAATGTTATACAACTATCACTACTTTCTAATTCCAGAACATTTTATCATGCCAAAAAACAACACTGTACCCATGAACAGCCTCTCTCTCCTTTCCTCATTCCCCAAGGTCTGGCCACAACAAATCTTTCTGTCCCTATGTATTTGCTTGTTCAGAACATTTTGTGACTGACTTTTTTCACTTAGTATAATGTTTTTAAGGTTCGTCCATGTTATAGGATGTATCTGTACTCTATTCCTCTTTTTGTAGGAGGGATGGAGCAGTCTGGGGGTTAAACTCAGGGCCTTGTGCTTGTGCTCAGGCACTCTACCACTGAGCCATGCCCCCAGCCCTTTCTGTTTTGGCTATTGAGATAGGGTTTATGCCCAGGCAGGCCTGGACTACAATCCTCCTATATGTTAGCTAGGATGATAGGCCCACACCACCATGCCCAACTTTAAATTGATTGAGATGGAGTGTCTTGAACTTTTTGCTCAGTGTAGCTTCAAATCTTAATGGTTCTAATCTCTGCCTCCCAAGTAGCTAGGATTTCAGGTTGAGCCATAGCCTTGAATTGTTTTTAATAGAGTAGTGAAGACAGAAGTCAGATTCTGAAAGATTAAGTAGTACAGAATTAAACACCATTACATGAAGAAGTAGAAGCAACAATTAAGAATTTCTTTTTCCCAGATAAGTGACAGTGAAGGGCAGTAGTGTGACCTAATGGAAAGTATACTAGATTTAGACAGAGAAATTGGTTACAAAAACACTTCTGGTGTTTACCAGCTAATCATTTATACTTGCTTCAGTACCCTATTTTGTAAAATGATACCAAAACATTGTTGTAAGAATTACATGCAATGAACAAAATATAGAAACATTTAACCTGGTCCTGGGCAAGCAATAGCAATACAACAAATTTACATGAATTTGAGAGTGGATAGTATTGGTACTAAGTAACAGAATTGTGAAGTTTGTTCAGAATGTTTTAGAATAGGGGACTAGCAAACAGCGCAGTAGTTCAAATATGGCCTTTGAGCTAGAAATGGTTTTTAAATTTTTAAAGGGCCTTAAAAAAAAAAAGATGCAGAAAAGCTTCACATATTTGCTATTTACCCTCTACAGAATAGGTTTGTCAGGCCATTTTTTAGACTTGGGAGACCTGATCTGTTCGGTAGATAAAGGAGAAGACAAAAGGATATAGAAAATAAAATTTAATAATTGAGCAAATAAGATTCTAAAGAAAATTTGATGGGAATGAGTTGTGATGAACAGAACTGATAGTTACATTTGGAAAGTAAGAATTATAAGTAGGAGGGAAAAAGTAAAACCATTTTTAAATGAAGTAGGGCAAAAGTGAGGAAATTCATTCTAATTTTTTTGTTTGTTTTTTGCTTGCTTTTGGTGGAGTTGGCTAAGCAGGTGCTCTACCACTTGAGACATGCTCCCAGCCTCTTGCTTTATTTTTTTTTCTTCTACTTTTAATCATTTTTATTAGTTGTATGGGGGGGATTCATTGTAATATTTTTGAATATGCTCACAATGTACATCTCTCTTCCTTATCACCCTCCCCCCTACTTAAAACAATTGCAGTGTTGTTCTATTTCATACAAGTATGCAAAGCACATCAACCTTATTCACCCTCCTTTATATCCCTTCCATTCACCCTCCCCTCCCACACACAAGTACCCATCTTCTTGCAGGTCCTATCCTACATTTTTAATGCCAAAGTCAGTATTCAAAGGGATTTCTCAATATATTGCAGCTGTGTACTTTGGTCAGTTTAACCCCCTTTTACTCTCTTTTACCTTTCCTTCCCACCCCCTATTATTCAACAGCTTTTAGTATGTATCATTATATCATCTACCTGCACAGATGTAATGTATTTCAGTATTGTTTACTATCATTCTCTTTTCCTCCTTTCCCAAGTTCCATAGATTAGTTCCACTATTGCAAACAAGTTCTACATGCGATCATGTTTTTTGTGAATACGTTTATCTTTTGGATCTATCTTCAACATTATAAGACATGCAGCCTTTGTCTTTCTGAACCAGGCTTATTTTTCAAATAAGGTCTGTTTATGCATGGACTGACCTGGACCACAATCCTCCTATTTATGCTTCCTGTGTTGCTGGGATGAGAGGTGTATGCTACCATGCCCAACTTTTTATTGCAATAGGCTCTGGAGAACTTTTTGTTCAGGATGACCTTGAATTGAGATCCTTCCAACTTCTGTCTCCCCTGTAGCTAGGATTGTAGAAGTGAACCACTGTGCCTTCTAAATTTTTTAGAATGAAATTTAGAATTTCATTGTAAATTTTTTCACCAATATTATATGTCTACCTACCGTATATTAGGTACTGTACATTTTATTGCATTTAGCTTTTTAAAATTGTTTTTATTAAATATAGCTATGCAAAAGATTATATATATAAGATTTTTTAAAAGTAGCCATACAGTGAACACCAATTAGTCCCTTACCTAGGTTAAGAAAGGTTAAATAGAATAAATGAAAAAAATCCAGTTTTAGAGATTCATCCATATTACTTTATGTATCCAAGTTCTATTTTGCTGAATTATGTCCCATTGTATGGATATTCTACAATTTTCAAGGCTGTTTTCCAGTTGGTGAACACTTGGGCTTCTATGTGGACTTGTGTTTAATTTTTTTGAGGAAAGTATCCAACCCATGGAATTGCTGATCCATATAGTAAGTGGTGGTTAAGAAACTATTTTCAAGTGCTTGTGCAATTTTGTATATTCTCGCCAGCTGAATGTAAACATTCTAATTGCT